GGGGTAGGTGCCACCCACGGGATGGGATGGGGCTCCTGAGCTGCCCTGTCCTGTGGCTTGGAGCAAAGCCCAGATGGTTCATGCCACGTGCTCCTTCTGTTTCTCAGGGAACTCGGAGCTGGTGCTGATTGCAGGGCTCGTGGCCGGGCTGCTGGCCGCTGTGGCTGGAGTTGCTGTGGCTGTGATTTGGGTGTGGAGACACAGGTGAGGCTCCTTCTGCCCCATGGAGCAGCAGTGGGAGAGCAGGGGAGGAAATGCCCTAGGGAATTTCTGCACTGGGCAGTGAAGCTCCTGCTCCAGTGCTGCTAGCTGCTGTCTGCATTGCCACAAGGTCTTTGCCATGGAGCATCCATAATCTGTTTCCCACTCATTTCAGAAAGCACGAGCGGATGGAGGAATCAGAGTCCAGGAACTCCATCCTCAGCAAAGAAGCTTAGCCCACAAGGGAGCCAACAGTCCACATTCCTTTCCACCACCCTCACAGGGACAATAACTACCCTTTCCTGCTTCAGCTAAATTCTGGGCACTGACGATTGTGAGACTAACTTGACGTGGAGATGTATGAGGGGTGTCTGACTTACTTGAATCTGCTAAGCAGACTGCAATGCTAGTCTGAGGCCTCCTCACTCATTACACACCTCTTAGCACTGCCTTGCACACCCACTGAGGCTCTAGAGCACCTAGAGCCTAGAAATTGCTAGTGGCAATTTCTCCCAGTTCTGGTACAATAGCACTTGTATCAGTAGGTGGAAAGCTTTACCCTTCTAATGTCACTTTCTAGTATTTTCTTTCCTCAAAACTAACTTTATTAACCATATTCCAGAAATATTTGTGCTGAGACTGATCTGTTCCACACTGACTAAGAGAACATGGCCACAAATGGCTTTAAAAATTACTGAGTAATACTGAAACTGGTATAATCTGTTGGAGCTGCAGATGTATATAAAATGAAAATAAAACATTCATATTTTCCCTAAGAACATGTGCTTTTCCTTAGGAGTTAGATGGGCTGGGGAAGGTTTTGATCAGCTGCAAATGGAAGCTGGAGCACCACTAAATTATTGGCCCAGGAACACCAAGGCAAAGGGGAAAAATGTACATATGCCTGTGTATATGTGAACACATTCTTACTTATTGCATGGAAATAAGCAACTGTGCACTTGAGGGGAAAATGCCAACAAGGCTCCCAAAGAAGGAGTAAAAGGAAGCCCATGTCCCATTAAAGACAGCAGAGTTCACACGGGCACAGGAAGGCATTTAGTCCATGTTCCAAATCAACTTGAACATGTGGCTTCAAAAGGTTTGGTTTCATTGGACAACTTCCTGCAAAGTTTTCCAGGGTAAGTCTCTAGCAGTCATGTGTGAGCCAGCTATCAGCAGAAAACCCTACTGGCCTGTGGTACAGCCACAACAACTCTGCTGGCATTTGTTCTCCCCTGGCCAGACCCTGGGAACCACTGAGCTGGGGGCAGGACTGCATTTTCCTGGCAACCAGAGTCCCCTGCTGGCACCGTGGGGCTCAAGGACCTCGCTGCAGGAGAGGTGTCACCAAGCCTTTCCCAGCCCTTGTTGAGCTGGGACAGACAGATGAAACTCTCAGGTGTGGGCAGGGCTCCCTCTGGGGCTGGACAATTCCTCTCTCAAGCACAGTGGAACACCCTGCAGCACTCACTGGACAAGGCAGAATGAAGGTCACCCACCAACCCTGGAGAGCAGGTGCAGCCAATGAACAAACCTGTTGAGAAAAGGTGGTCATGTCCATGATCTCCCTAGAGACCCTACAGTAACACACCCACGAACACCTGGTACCAGGGAGGTGTCTGCAAATGTTTGCTCACAGCCCACAAGAGACCATACAATAACAGCCCAGGCATTTTGAGAGGGCTCTTCTAGTGCCTCAGCCCAGGCCTGGTGCCCACCCAGTGCAGCACCCAGAGGCACTGCATCCATGTCCAGCCCACCCCAGCTCACCCAGGCACAGCTCTGGGCTCAGGGAGTTAGAGCCTTCACCTCAGGGGGCACTGCACAGACCAGTGATCACCTGAGAGAATGCAAGGACCAATGTTAGCTGTGGGGTGTGCGAGGACCGACGATCACATGAGATGGAACTGCGAACCCTATGGTCACCTGGGGTGGGGGGAAAGTGAGGACCAGTAGTCACCTGGGAGGACTCTAAGAACCACTGACTGTCACCTGAGGGAACTAGGGGAACCAATGGTAACCTGGGGGTGACTCTGAGGACCAACAGCTCCTCATCCCCTAGGGACATTTGCTGATGAGAGAGGATTGATATGAAGGAGGAAGAAGCTGTGAGCAAGAAAGAAAGTGTGAAAAAAAAACCCCAAAACTCCCGAGGAGAAGTACATTCAACAGAGAAGAGGAAGGGCTAAAGCAGAACTTCTGATCCACTGCAACAGTGGGAGACATCTGGAGGAAATTCAGAAGAGAGTGAACACATCATGACCACCTGCACAAGCCTGGTACCTTCTCCTGTCCTTAACAGGGACCATAGGGACAAATGGTCACCTCATAGGACTGTGTGTACAGAAGTCCTTCTGCACCCTCCCTCCCTGACTGTCCCCCATGGCTGAGTTTTGCCATCTCACCAGCCAAGCACTGTCCTCTGGGCCTGGCACTGGTGGCCCTGCTGGGAGGGATGTGGATGTTGTGGTGGTAGCCTGGACAGCTCCTGGGTGATGCCAAGGTGATCTGCAGGGGACGTTAGTGCCATTTCTGGAACTACCAGGATACCACAGCATCCCTACTTCTCTCTGGAACAGTTCCATGGAAGGGAAGTGGTTCAGTGTTTGGACATTACCAAGGTGCATCCCCTTAGACTTCCCCTCAGCTGTGGTTTTGTTTCTGCCTTCACCTCAAACACAGGCACCCCCAGGAACAGGGAAGAGAAACTGCACGTAAGGGAGGAGCAGTGGACTGGGGATGTTGTGGGGGGGAGATGTCTCTGGTTGCCCCTTTGTCCCTCCAGCACTGGTCACTGGTGCCAGTGGGGAAAGAGCAGGGGCATGGCTCCCACCATTCCTGTTCCCACACACAGGAGACTCTTGGGGAGGGGGACAGGGTTCTCACCAAAGCTGGTGGGAAGGAAAGGGGAGTGTCAAGCTCAGCCCCAGGCCCTCCCCTGGGGTATTTAGGACAGAGTTAGTGCTCCCCAGCACTGTCTCACAGCTTAGGGCTCGGCAGGAACTGCTTGTCACCTCCTCCCTGGGAGCCCCATCCCCAGGGTTAGGCAGGCAGCGTGAGAGCAGCCTGAGCTGGAGGTGCTGGCTGGGGGACCCAAAGCAGCTCTTCTCCGCATGTTGGGACTGAGAGGACAGCGATCAGATTTCCCCAGTCAAGGCTGAAATCCAGAAGTCGCTGGCATCTCTATTGGAGCTGATGCACCCAGCAAGAACAGGGATAGGATGAATGGATGGGGATTGGTGGGGATGGGAAGTAAGGGAGACCCAGCTTGGATCCTCGAATATCTGCTTTCTCCTAGTGCTGTTTCCTGGGATTCTCAAAAAAAAACCCCTCCCCCCCCGCCGGTCCTCCCCCCCCCCCCAGCCTGTCACACTACTTTATGCGGAAGATCTTCCCAGGTCCCCTCCCCTCCCACAGGTCCCCAACCCTCAGCTCAGGACCTCTTGGCCCCTCCCTGGCATTTTCCCCTCTGGTTTCATTGGTGTAGAGCTGTCGCAGTGACTGCTGGGCTGGGGTGAAGTGTGGGACCCAACAGATTCTTCCTCCTCCTGCAGGCACTGCTGCTGCTTCTTCAGCCTTGCTGCATGCACCATGCAGCCCCCTCACCTCCTTCTCTTCCTCTTTCTCCCCCTCCTACTCCCTGGGATGTGGGCAGACCCAGAGGGTAAGTGGGAACCCTGGCTCACCCCAACTGCTCTCACCTCCCATGTCAGAGGAGCCCACAGGTTCCTGGGGGGAGGCATGGCCAGGCCACTGCTGCCTGCATGGGGGGGAAGATCCCCAGCATCAAAGGGCCACCGTGAGACCCCCAAAGGTGCTTTGTCCCTGGACACCCTCTCTGTTCCTGCCATCAGCTCAGGACTTCTGCACTGCAGAGGAGGGACCATGGGTCCCCAGACAGGCCTTGGGTGTTGAAGTTCCCCCCAACATGTCTCTCCCCTGTAGGGAGCCCATGGGTGCCAGGGGGGTCTCAGCCCCACATGGTGTTGTGGGCCCCTTCCAGCAGCCCCTGGTTCCTTGAGAAAGATGCACTTGCAAGAGGGTGTGTCGGGCACTGCCTTTGCAGAGTGTTTCACCACAGCCCCATGAGACCTCAAGCTTCTGGGGGAAGGCAGCAGCAGACACGGGAGACAGGACTGAGCTCTGGGCTGGGCTGGGCTGTTTGCCTGCCCATGTCAGGATGCCCACAATCTCGAGCAAAATGCCCTATCCCATCCTCCACATCCTCTGCATGATATGCAGGTCTTTAGCAGATACAGGTCCTGGCACGGGTGCTCCTTCTAGGGGAACCAACACCCCAAACAGCACCAAGATGTCCCCTCATCAGCTCTGCAGAGTCAGACAGCAGCACTGGGCAGGATGGAGGCAAGGAGGGGAGGGCATGAAATGCCTGAAATCCTGTATGGGAGAGAGATGCTTTGTTGAAAGTAAAATAGAGAAGGAAAAAATGCAGAGAAGGCAGAGGAAGTTCAGATGGGAAAGAAACCCTGAGCAGGCTGAAGAGCCTAGAGTCATAGAACCACAAAATGATTTGGGGTAGAAGGGACCTTTAAAGGCCATCCAGTCCAACCCCTCCTGCCATGGGCAGGGACACCTTCCCAGGTTGCTCAGAGCCAGGTTCAACCTGGCCTTGAATGTTTCCAGGGGTGGGGCATCCACCATGTCTCTGGGCAAACTGTGCCAGTGCCTTGCCACTCTCACAGGAAAAAATGTCTTCCTTTTATCTAGTCTGAATTCCCCGTTTCTGCTCCAGCCCCTCCACTCATCTCCTTCCTGCACCCCTTCCCATCCCCAGACTCCTTTCCAGCAGAGCCACAGGTTCTCCAGGTTCTCCTGACCAGCCTCTTTGACAGTATCAGCTCTGTTGAGATGTCAGGTGTGGCTTTCCTGGGGGACACATCCATCTTTACACTGGATCCTACCAACTGGAACATCCGCTTCCACTGGCCCTGGGCCAGCCAGGCTGCATCTCAGGGTGATGCAGAGAAGCTGATGGCCGAGTACAAAATCTTTCTACGCAATATGATCCGATTCGTGCATAGTACAGTCCAGGAGGCGAAAGAGGACTGTGAGTATGAGGATGACCCCAGTCAGAGCCCTGTCTAGCCCCTCTCCCCAGGTTCTGGCTGTGCCCTCCTCCCCATTGGGGTGGCCTTTGTGGGGGACTCATAGGGCACAACGACTTGTGAAAGGGTAGTGGGAAACACTGCACCTGCTGGGGCACATGGCTAGCAGGAGTGGGGAATGAAGCAGACCAAAAAAGCCTCTTGGGCCTTCTGTCATCTGGCAGAGGGAACTCCTCTGCACACCAGGGAGCTGCCACCAAATTTCCTGGGGCTGCAGGACCCACACAGCAAATACCATGAAAGAGAAAACTGGGGGCAAATATTTTTGGGGACAGCATTCTTTTTAAGCAACCACCCCACACTAACTGGCCCAGTATCCACTCCGTCCTTCCAATGGCCTGAGGGCTCGCAGTGTGTCCAGGGTCTCCTGAACCATGGCCTCATGTCCTGCTGCTGATCCTGCACATGCCCTCAGCCACATCTCACCTCATGTCACTATATTCCACACACTCATGGGACCTCTCCACTGGCTTTGCCCTTGGCAGACCCACTTGTGATCCAGCTCCGTGTCGGCTGTGTGCTGTACCCCAATAAGACAAGCTGGGGCTTCATGGATGTTGGTGAGGGTGGCAGAGACCTCGCAGCTTTTAACGTGGAGAGGCAGCGCTGGGAGACCCATCAGTCATCAACGCTGGCAGAGCTGGTCACCAAGAGTCTCAACGGCCAGAAATCCGTCTTGATATTCCTGGAGGAACTAGTCGCCAAATTCTGCCCAAGTCAAATCCTCAACCTGCACACGTGTGGGAGGACAGCTCTGGAGAGACAAGGTGAGACCA